GATATGACGGAGTGGGAAACAGATGATGAGCGCAGGGCGAAAGGACATGAGATACCTGTATTGTCAACCACCCCAGAGCCAACTTGCTCTCGAACGCCTTCGCCTTCAACAAAGTCAAAACGATCCTGTCGACGATCCGTGACTCCTCCAGCAAGAGGCTCTTCACCAAGTAACATGTCTACCGACCGTACAGACAAGAGATCGTCCAGAGACGTAACGAATGATGAGACCATTAGCATTCTAGATCCTCGAAGATTTACCCCAACACTTCATGCCAATCTAGTCTCCGAGATTCTTGCATTGAGAAGGGACCAAGATGAGAAGACCAAGCAAATAGAGAGCTTGGAGAACGCGCTCCATTCGGTGAAGGAAGAGCATGAACAACTACAAGAGAGCCTGACTAGTTCCTCGAAAGAAAGCCGATCTCTTAAACGACAACTTTCGCTTCTCGAGGGTGGAACATCATCCGCACTCGGAGAACTTGCCAAAGAAAGAGACGAAGCTGTTGATTCTATTTCGGAGACAAAGAAGAGGCTAAATTTGGCGCAAAAGAAGATTCGTAGCCAGGAAGATGATTCTCTGCGGGTTCATGAGCTCTGGGCACAGGAGAAAGATGACTGGGAGGATGAACGCCGAAAGTATGAACGAAAGTTACATATTGCTGAGAGTCGCCTGAAAGTGGTTCTCGACGAAGTTGCGGCGTATCAAGCTAATTTTGCGAATAAGACTCCAAACAGTGCTCTTCATGATCACGAGAGCGACGTGGAAGAAAGTGGCAAAGAAAATGACGCTGTTAGCGTTAGGACTATGAGCATGACTAACAGTATCCGACACTCTCTGATGAGTGGTCCCATACTGCATCCCGGCAATTCACTCGCCGACGAACTCACCTTCGATGATGACGATCAGACAGATGTCGATGGTCGTGAGAGCGTCCTGTCTATACGAACAAGTCCGAAACATATGCGAACCTTCAGTCGGGATAGTGTGGCTGGTAGATTACACCTCAGAAACCATAGCATTGAAAGCCTGAAGCGTCCTGGGAGCGTGGCTCGGGGCAAGCTCTTTATGAACCCATCGGTCCTGGAAGCATTGGAAGGCGAGGATGAAGAAACCGAATCGCAAACTTTTCAGACGGCAGTACCGGGAGGTGTATCTTACATTGACAGCGGCATACAGTATTCTCCGCCCCCTTCACCACCGGCTCTGCGGTTCAAATCATCAACTCCAGATGCCCCTTCTCAGTGTGTCAAGACTCCCGAACATGAGACGCCCAGTCGGGCAGATACTGAAATCGAGGCGAATCAGCGCAAGAAAAGAGTGCAAGTCGTTCAGCCGTTGGTTATTGAACATCCAAAGCATGACAACAAGATGGTCTCCGCAGCTGCCCAGACCGTGGAGATGCCGCTCAGCCCGCCTAAAACACCGCAGACACCGTTTCTTGAACTCGAACATGTTCCTGTGTTGATGGTCACATCCTCAACTCAGACAGAAGAAGTACCTGCTGTTGCTTCCGACGTAGGCTTAACGCCACCATCAAGAAGAGCATCGTCTCTGCCACCGTTGGACATTCCCACTATCAACATCCAGCCTCCGACGAGTCGGCCGACCACTCCGCGAGAGCCTCGTCTGCCGCAGCACTTTAAACATTTCGGTTGCCAAGTTAATCTTTCATCTATCCTTCCAACCAATGATGCCTCTATGCAAACTGAAGGGATTCAAGTTGACAAAAGATTGGCCCTTCTGCCAGCTCATTTGCAGCCTTCGTCCATATCCTCCCGACCGACGTCACCCAACGTATTAAAGCCCAGAGTAGACAGTGACTTCACGCCGGTCCCGCCGCGAAACCCAAGGCGGTTGACAAATAGTCATGATCGACCTGAGTTAGCGTCATCCCCCGCCACTTCGCGAGGAGACGATGAGGAGCTACAAGACAGTTACCTAAACCTGCATGGCGACCAACCATTGTTGGCCCAAAAAGGAGTCACTAGACATAGCAACCGCATTAGCAGCATTTTTGCTGGCTTTGATACTGCTAGTTCCGACGAAGGTGACGAATTTGGAGATCTGGATGGCAGTGATGCAGAGTACCGAACAGCTTTGTCTGCACCTAGACCACAGTCAAATTCAACCAGGGCAACCAAGCGAGGATCTTTTGGAACCGCCACTACATCGTCCGAACAGCAAAGACCCGAACCGCTGACCAGAAATCCAACCAAGCCTATCGGCCCTGAGCCATATAATTCATTCGGCCTTGCTGATAAAGAGAATCAGCCGAAGGGTCATGGTAGAAGGTTGAGTAGGGCTTATGAGAAGCCCCATCCAGCTCCAGCACCCGGTTCATCCAATCGTACCAGCGCTATACGGAAGGCCGCCATCATACAGAGCGGGATTGTTACCCAGCAAAATCGCTCCAGAAGCCCTAGTCTCCCTGACGGCAAATATCCCCCGTTTCCTATACCTAACCGGGCAAGTTCGCGAAGATCACAAATTGGTCTTTATACGCCGAGTGATGGCCGTGAAAGTCCTACAAGGGGAGAAATTTGGCACCGCAGAGGTAGCAGTCGTTCGTCTTATCAGTCACACAGTATACGCAAGGTTCGTTCCGCTGCTGCCTTACCGAGGTCTCATCGATACCGCAGGCACGGTAGTAGATCTCCGCCACCCTTGTCTCCCTCAACTGAAGCACCAGAAAGTCCCGGCTTGCCGCCTCTGCCTCGAAACGATATAACCACTCCTCGTAATGGACGCGACAGAGGCTTTTCCAGCTATCGCAAACATCGACACGACCTGTCGACCAACACGGACAACACGAATAACACCGTGCCCACGACGGATACCGGGTTTTCTCACACGACAGGCGTTGTTGACGCTATAGCTCAAACCATGGTGGGCGAGTGGATGTTGAAGTATGTTCGACGACGCAAATCCTTCAGTGTTCCTGAAAACACAGGCAAGGACGACAGCAGCAACGATCGGCACAAGAGATGGGTGTGGCTAGCACCCTATGAAAGATCCATTCTCTGGAGCAGCAAACAACCTTCGTCGGGTAGCGCCTTGTTGGGCAAGACTGGCCGCAAGCGTAAGTTGACCGTCTCATGTCTGCAGCCTTGGTGACGCATTGTTAACAAAGTGCTATAGTCACAATCCAGTCAGTCCTGGATGTCAAGGATGATAATCCCGCCCCTAGAGTCATGCCCACTGTTTTCAACCGATCGATTCTAATTTTGACTCCACAAAGAGCCTTGAAGTTTACGGCATCATCAGCTGAGAGACATTATCTTTGGCTCACGGCGCTGTCGTTCCTGGCTCATTCATCCCAAGCCGTGCCTGAGATCATCTCAACTCCCCACACGAATACTAAAGAGCAGCAGCACCAGCCGTTGCCTGAATTTGAAGCACCACAGCCAAAGCATAAAAGAAGCGGCATACGAGACTCCATTAGGCTCGCCAAAGGCAGAACGGCCACCAAGATTAGCGTTCCTGGTGTACCTAGCATTCCCAGTGTTCCAACATCTCGAAGGAGCGAGGCTACAGGATTTCGTTTGCAGGATTCTTCATCAGCAGTTTCTGGAGGACACAGCCGTGAGCAGTCTGGAGAAGCGGCAGAACCACCGTTCATCCCTCGATTTTCAGAGCGGACTGTTCACTCTGTGGCAACCCATGGCCGTAAGCGAAGTAACACTGGAGGGCATGTCGCGCCTCCACTCTCTTTTAGAGGATTTTCTGGACCGGCAGGGACCGGCAGCGGACCTCACCACTCAGGCCAGAGCACGGCAAATGGAAGTCTCGATACGACGATGTCATCTGAAGTTTATCAAAGCCAAGCTTCTACCAACACGACTTGGAACATGAGTCAAACAGCATCATCACAGCGCACGTCTGAGGCGTCATCTCGCCCTAGTAACTTTTTTGATGCTATTGGAACTGTGAGGATGGAAGCATTCATTAGTCCATTGGCCTACTCTCAGTATACCGACTATCCCGATGATCAATGTGAAGAGTATCGCAAGAATTCCAGACGAAGGAGCAAGGAGATTCGAAGGCGAAATAGCCGCAATCGACACCGAGACAGCTATTCATACAGAGCAGGAAGGAGTGAGGATTCTTACAGTAGAGGAAGATTCCCAGTTGAAGAAGATTACTTCCTCCGTGACGACCCTTTCAAGGGATTCTAGAATCGACCTCGAAGATCAACAGCACACCATTTTTCAATAAACGTCATCTGAGTCTTATATGCCCCAACTTTTACACCATTACGGATACCCTTTCGTGGTTTTTTTCTTTTTTTTTGCCTTTGAACTCTTAACGGCCCCGAATCGACGACTTTCATATTGCAGTCTCCATTCCGTTGGCAGTTTACTCTATTATGCACGGCGTTTGGTGTTCTCATGTCTATGTCTTTACACGCTCATTTGCAGTGCGCTCGACTCAGGGCCGTTCTTATGCAGTTATTGATGAAAGTGGGTTCTTCGAGGGGAAATGCTTCTAGCACTACCGATGGTGTCTTTGCACTGTCTCTCTTGTATTGGGTTAGTGGTTTCAGTTCCAGGCTGGCTATGGAGGCGAAACTTGTCGCGTACGTAAGATTTAGCGATGGTATCTTTAGAGAAAATGAAGCAAATTCTTGGGAATCTGCGCATTATAGATGCATATGTATATGATTTGCAGCTGTTTTGGACGGTGAGTTTGTCCGTGCAACATGATAAGATTTGGTGTGGATTCAGATGAATGCGGCTTGTTGCCTTTTGTTCTGCGCCGTGAACTTCCCAGGCTTCCAAGCTTCGGATGTTCCCCACATGCCCCTCTGTCCCTGGCAAGGCGAAGACGGCGCCCCGCCGCGAAAAGTTGCGGCTCCATCCTCAGCTTTGCTACTCCGTAGTCATTGAATGAAATTCGGTACGACCAGCGAAGCTTCTGTCGCTTGTCAAATTACTCCCAAGCACACCACATACGCCGTTTGCAATATTCTCAGCTGAAACAAAAAGGCACAGGCCGAGATGGAAGGCGAGTCTCTGGACCAAATGACGGCCCGCCACCGGCGAGAGCTCAAAGACCTCCAAGGCCGAATCACCAGCAAAAAGAAGAATGCCACCAAGAAGACGCGCAAAGGCGTCAACGACGAATGCTCTGGCATGGAGCGGGAGTTGAGAGAGAAGCAAGCCGCCGAAGTTGCTTCCCTCGACAGCACACCACGCGACGTCGAGCCCGAGCCCGAACCCGACGCCGATGACGACACCAACACCACCGCCGACGAAGCCAACGGGCTGGAGCGGGCGGCAGCAGAAGCAGACGACGAGGCAATAGACGCAGCAGTGGACAAGCTGAGACTGAACGGCGACGCGCCGCCGCCGCCGGCGGGCAAGAAGCGGAACCGGCAGAAGGAACGCCTCGCGCGGCGGGCAGCCGAGCAGGAGGCCGCGGCGCAGCAGGCGTCGGAGGAGGCGTCGGGCATGACGGACCACCGGGCCCGGGAGAGCGAGTACATGAGGAGGACGATTGCGGCGCACGGCCTCGTGGAGAAGGACATTGAGCCGGACGGGCACTGCCTGTTCTCGGCGGGGGGACGGGCCGCGAGGACGCGAGCGAGCCCGCGTACAGGACGGTGCGGCGGGCGGCGGCGGCGTACATGGGCGACAACGGGGACGACTTTGCGCCCTTCCTCGAGGGCGGCGACCTGGGGAGCCATGTCGCGAGGGTGCGCGACACGGCCGAGTGGGGGGGACAGCTGGAGCTCACGGCGCTGGCGAGGCGGTACGGCGCCGAGATACGGGTCGTGCAGGACGGGAGGACGGAGAGGATCGGGGAGGAGGAGGGCGCGCGGACGGGCAGGGTGCTGTGGTTGGCGTATTACCGCCACGGGTATGGGCTGGGCGAGCATTACAATTCTCTGAGGAGGAAGTGAAGGGGGCGTGTCGCGTTGCGTCTCCTTCTTGCCACATCATGGATTCTGGACCAGAGCATGTTTGGGTTTGTTTTTTTAGGGGGGATATAACTCTCTGTTTGCTATAGCGATGTTTTTTTTGCATATCTGAAAAATTCTATGGGCATGTTACCCGTTCCATGCGGTTGTGCCATTGTTTTCTCCCAAGTCTATTTGTTTTTTAGGTCTCCTTTTGTGCCGCCGGGTTCACCGGCTCCAAACAGATATAAAGTCCGACACTGTCCCGTCCTTGTTGGTGCCCGCGGGATGTGTCTTGGCCGGCCTGATGAGGCCGGACCGATGCAGGGCGTTGGCGTCGGGCTTGGCGGCGGTTGTTTCCACGGGGCTCCCGTCGGCATTGTATGATATTTCCTCCCCGGGAGCACCCAGCAGCGCCTCGTACATCTCCGGCCGGACACCCCAGGGAGGACCCCTTTCGGAGAGGGGCTTCCCGGACGGGAACTCGAGGCAGACGAGGCGGCCGGAGGGGCGGAGGAGCTGGGACATGCGTTTGGCCCATTTGGGGCGTGCCTCGGGGGGCAGGGCACACAGGAACTGTTTGTCATATTCGCTGGTTAGTCGCTGCAGGAGAAAAGGAAAAAGGGGGGTTGGGTTGGGTTGGAAGCAGGCCGGGCCCGTACCGTATAGTCGTATATCAAGTCGAATTTGCCAGAGCCGTCGGTCCCGAAGCCATCCAGCACGCCTTCTGAGAAGAAATCGCCTGAAATCCATTTGATGTCGCCCTTTTCCACGCCCTGCTGGGGTTCATAGCGCCCCGTCCCTTCGGTTTTCTGCCTGTTCTCCTCGGCCATGCGCAGAGCGTCGGGGCTGACGTCCAATCCCACGACGTCGTATCCGAATTTGCTGAGCAGCAGGACGTCGTGGCCGCGCCCGCAGCCCGGCACGAGGGCCGTTTGGCGGACCAGGTTCCCCTGCAGGACCTGGTGATGGGCTCGAGGGACGAGGTCGTCCCGTGTGAGGAGCAGCTCCTCCAGGGCGTCGGAGGGGCCGTCCCGGTCCCACGGGTGGAAGCCGTCCTTGTACAAGAGGGACCATTGGTCGCCGTGGGCTGAGAAGGCGAGGTTTTGGAAGCTTTGGCTGAGGCGGCCGGGGGGGTCGGCGGTGGTGGCCATTGTTCTGGCGGGTGACTGAGTGAAGCAATTGTTGATTGACGGGGCAGAGCCGCCGTAGGGGACAGGAATCAAAAGGGAAAGGGAGACAGGAGAGAAGGGAAGAAAAGAGGGAAGATGGGAGGCTCGCGATGTTTCGGGTGGATGGAGGGTGGGATGGCGCAAGCCGGGCTGGGGGAGGCGCAGTGGATCTTGGAACGGCCGTGTTGGAATCGGGAGCTTGGTGATTTTCTGCCGAAATCTGCAGACTGGAAGGCAAAAAAGCCTTGGTCTTGGTCTTGGTCTTGCGATTCAGCCGGGACCTGGCGCGGGGGTGGAGTGATTTCAGCAGCATGGGGCCATGCCATCATCCCACGCCTAGGGTTGTGTGATTCGGCTTCCAGATGATGCGTGGCACGGGAGGCGGTCGTTTGCAGGAGACGGGAGAGCGTGATTCAACGTGGACATGCTGATTGTGTTGTTGTGCTGGCCATTTGACGTTGCGCAGACAAAGCATGAATTGCTCGGCGGGCTTATCTTTTTACTAGGTGTGCTTATATACTACCAGGTACCTAAATATTAAGTTATATATTATAATATATTATTATATATTTTATAATAAATAAATATATTTTATTATAAATTATTTTTTAAAATATAATAAAAGTTTAAATATAATAAATACTTACTTATTAAAAGGGGTAAGTATACCTAGTAAAAAAAGTAAGCCCGCCGAGTAATTCACGACAAAGCAGTATTGGCCAGCCAAAGGCGGCGTTGATCCAAGGTTAATCCAAGGATGGAAGGCGGACGAGCCGGCGAGGCAGACGCCAAACCAAAAAAACTAAAAAAAAAAAAAAAACAGAATTAAAATAAAGATCAAAAGTAAGAGCAAAAATCAATATAAAAGAAGCCTGGCGTCCATCTACACTCTGCCGCGCGCACGAGCAGTTCATGCAACCTGCATGTCGTGTCTCGCGAGTACGACGGCGGCTGCAGGCGGTTCCAGATTGCACATGTGCCCACGTGCAGCCCTACGACGGCTGGCAGTGAGACACTGTTGAATCTCGATGGTGGTTCAATGCTTGTTCTCCGGCTGCTTATTAAGAGCGTCAAGTGCTTTCCATTGTTCACGACCTTGACCCCTTGAGCTTCTGTTTGCGGTTATTCGTGGCAGCCCTTGTCATGCCCGCACACATCGACCGCGGAACAGGACGTTGAAAATAACTGCTGCCTCTTCTCTCTCTCTCTCTCTTTTTTTTTTCGTGAGACATGATATCGTCTTGCCCGTGTGCAACAGCAGCCGCCCACGGCCCGTTCACGTCATCCCTCCCTCCCATTGTCGCCCGCCCCACCCCCGCCTCCTCCGCCTTCCCCCCTGCACCACTGTGCCTCGGCATCTCGACACTTTTTATTTCGGGCTTCCACCACCTCTCCAGACAGCATCCAACATGACCAATTCACCAATTCGCCCTCCGTCCTGAACAACCCCCCCCCTAATCACCATCATGGATGTCAACACTCTCTTCGGAGTCCAGGTACTGTCCCACACAAACCCCCCCCAAAAGACCCGCACCACTCACCCATTTCCCCCAACCAGGGCAAAGTCGTCCTCATCACCGGCGGTGCGTGACTCCCTCCCGCTCGCAAAACCAACCTCCCCCCTAACCAAGCCTTTCCCCTCCTTCAGGCGCCAAGGGCATCGGCCGCATGATAGCAACGGGCTTCGTCACCAACGGCGCCAAAGTCTACATCACGGGCCGCGACGCGCCCGCCTGCCACGCCGCCGTCGCCGACCTCGAGCCGCTCGCGCGCCTCTCGGGCTCGATCCACGCGCTGCCCGCCAACCTCCAGAACCTCGACGAGTGCCAGGCGCTCGCGGCCCTCGCGGCCGAGCTGGCCCGCCTCGAGCCCGGCGGCCTGCACGTCCTCGTCAACAACGCCGGGGCCACCTGGGGCGCCGACATCGACTCGCACCCGGACGCGGCGTGGACCAAGCTCCTCACGCTCAACCTGCAGCGCGCCTTCACCCTGACGCAGCTGTGCCTGCCGCTGCTCGAGAGGGCCGGCAGCCAGGACGACCCCGCGCGCGTCATACACGTCGGCAGCATCGACGGCGTGCGCGTGCCCTCGCTCGCCAACTACGCCTACTCGGCGAGCAAGGCCGGCCTGCACCACCTGTCGAGGCACCTCGCGCGGGACCTGGGCTTCCGCAACGTCACGAGCAACGTGCTGGCCTGCGGGCCCTTCCGGACAAAGATGATGAAGGCGACGCTGGACGCGGCCGAGGACGTGCTCAAGGAGAATATCCCGTTGCGGAGGATCGGGCGGGACGAGGACGTTGCTGGCTCGGCTATCTTTTTGGCGAGCAAGGCCGGGTGAGTTGCTGTTTTCTTTTCTTTTTCTTTTTTGAAAAAATCTTGTTTCTTTCCTTGTTTCTGGACTAACATGCCGTAGGGCCTATCTGAATGGCGCGCTGATTAGAGTGGATGGAGGGGCGTCGTTGGTGGCCAAGATTTAGAAAGAGAAAAAGGGAACATTCACATCAAGCGCAGGGTTATTTTTCCTGCTGAGAATGTACTTGTATACATTACGCGGTGGGCGGTGTTTTGGCAATATACTGAAAATGAGGTACAACCTCGAGTTTTACCCCGCCTCGTCTCTTATTATATGCATCTACTGCTCCTCCTCCTCCAAGGGGTATCGTTCCTGTTGAAGACGGACAAGACGAAACTTGTTTGGCCGCCAAAGAAGCTCCCGCCGTGGCAAAGCAAACCTGGCCGCAGAACAGACTCCTCCCTAGATATAATGCCCTGTTGCGCCGACTATAAAAGGCCGAAAAAAAAAAGGAAAATAAAAAAACAGACAAACATAATGACTCCTCCGCTGATGTATCAAGTCTATCGGATGTATCCGTGACGTGTTAAAAAAATAAGAGTGAACTAGTGGTGCGATAAAATAGCACAGCTGCGGTCTCGTTGAACAAGATTCATGGTCCCACGGTGTCGTATGCACGCCGGTTATTTAGGGAAAAAAAAAGAAAACCGAGATGCTTGACTTCAAAAAAAAGAATAGAGGCCAATGCTCAAAGACCACAGTCTTCAAAGTCGCGGGTCAGGCAAGCAAGTTGCGCTCGCTTGGCGGCTTCGGCAACAAGGTTGACATCCCGAAGAAAAGTCTCGGTCGAGGGCGCTTTGATTTGGACCGGCGCGAGCATGGGGACAGGCTGCGACGACTGCGCGTTCGTCGGGGACTGCTGCGTCGACGACGAGGCCGAGGAGCCAGCGAGGCTGGGAGACGAGATCGGGGCGTTCATCTCGGCGGTGGGAAAAAAGACAAGAAAAGAATGCGGGGTGCGTTGTGTGATGTTCACGTCTTGGACAACGACTGACCGACAGTCGGTGTAAATGGCAACAGGAAGAAAAAGACAAAGATCGGCTCGGGCGCGCCCAGCGGACAGCGGACAGCGGACAGCGGGGGGAGATGACTGTCGAAAAATATTCTGGTTGCTTTGGCAAGGGGGCCGACTTTTTGTCAAAAGTCGTTGTGGCCTTTAATTTTTTGCCGTCGGCGGAGGAAGACGTGAGATTGGGGGATCCAGATGCGGAAGGAGCCACGGGCGAGGTCAATAGCCGAATTGGTTCTCGAGACGGGCGCGGGGTTAAGACGTGTCTTGGAATCCTAGACGTTTGCGGGGTGGTCGGGACGAGCACAAAGGGCAGCGCGAGACCAACAAAGGAAAAAGAAAAAAATAAAGGTGTGACGAAGAGGAGGAGGAGAGAAGGGCAAAGGGAAAAGAAGAAAAACAGAACGAGGCCAACGTACGAGTGAGTACAAGTGAGCAGCCCCGTTTGTCCGTGTAGCCGTCGCTGCGATGCCAGGCCAGGGCTTTTGTCTCCGCGATAGCGCCGGATCCCGTGAGCGATTTGGAAAGCCTCGGCCTGGGAGAGCTGCAAAAGGTGGGTATTCGGGAGACGAAATAAACTACTAGTGGCTCCCCCCCGGGCGGTCGTCAGAAATTGCTATTTAGACTTGGGCTCCCCCGCCTGGGAGCGAGTCAATGACCGATGGAAGGGCCGCAAGGGAACAAGACGTCAGAGGCTGGAATTGCGGGGACAAGCTGCTGCTGAATGAATCGTTTTGCTACAGTCAGGCTGCCTCAGTCACTGGTGATGTTTTCGCCCATCTCCACAAGACGCACGAGCAAACTCCCCCGGGGATACACGAGGAAACAATTGGTTCAAGGACATCTGGAGGCCCGATGGCTGGACGTCGAGCAGCGACAGAAGCATCACGTTAATAAATGAAGCGGACGGCCGCCAACTCTTGCTGCTCGCTGCGTTTGGCAGCCATCGACTCTGTTCTCTCGACAGCAGGCAGCACGGTGGAGACAATGCGCCTAACCCGCCATGCGAGGTGGAGACGCACAAAGACCATCGGTCTGCTCTGGTGTGACGGGCCGAAATGGCGATGCTAAAGCTGATGTCGATGCTGCCGAGTGATGATTCGTGTCGATCCACGTCTCTCCGGTCGTGCCACCTGCGACTGAACCATCTCGACAATCTCGACCGCCAGCCAAACCAGTGACCCCTTCGTTTCAACTAGTCATGACGTACACCGAACCCTACCTATATTCATTACCATGCATCGCGGCATATACACCGTACCGTCCTGGGCTGTTATGTAACAAATGTTGCATCCCAACCGCCTCGCAGGTCATGAAAATCCCCAACCTTGTGGGGAATCCAACGCTCGGTTGTTGTTTTCCCTGCACTTCATTGAAATAATGGCATTGTGACGCGGGCCACTGATTCTGCATTTTCCGCATCCCTCTCATTATCAGAGCTGGATACCGCACCCTCCCTTCACCGCATAGTGTTCCTGCCACCTAGCATTTCGGATCTGACCGATGGCGTCTCCAATGTTTCACTTAATTGGACGGGGAGGGCGGGGAGGGCGCCTGTGCCAGATGAGGCAGCGCCTTCTTTGCAAGTGGCTACAGCCGCAGCGACATACTACATACAGAGCGGGTGGCCCAGCCATTGGTGATGCCTTCGATGTTGACCGGCCGGGGGGAAGAAATGCAGACGCGTGCCGTTTACTGTCCCACGCGGGTAGCGAGGGTCGCAGTGCCCGTGGCGTCGCATATGCAGGAACTTCCGTAGCAAGTCGTCACCGTATGTTTTGAACATGGCGTTTGGCACCGTGGAGTCGTCTGAACAGCAGCTCTCAGCTACCAAGGCGGCCATAAGCCAATAGTAATAGTAACATGTATGTACGATACTGTGAAGACGAGGTCGCTCAACTCATCACTGCCATCCTGACCGACATTATTCATGCTAACGACTGATCCACCGGAAGAAGTCGGAACTCTGCCATTCCTGAGCAAAGTCCATCTCTGCTTTGTGGGTCAGCGATGGATTGCCCCCGTGGCCTCGGATGGCCCCCTGATGCTTCATGTTGGTCTGATCGTGACTCGGTCGCCGTCGGGAAGGCGACGACATTCATTGGGCTAGGGAGATCGTCAAGTTGGCCGTCAGCCCAAGTTTGAATCCGACGACATGACTCATTGCTGGTTGGGTGACGGATCGAATAGGACAGCTTGAGGCTCGACAGTCTAGGACCAAGGCCGCCAACTTGTTGCATAGGCGGTAGGGGATACAAACTAAATTCCATTTCGCATTTCTAGATTATGTATACAAGCTCTAAGATATCCTCCAAAAACTTAAAACCACAACACGCGTGCTTTCGCATAGCCTCAAATAACTCCCCATTCCGCCTAGTTTTAACTCCGCAACACATAGTGTATTGTGCCAAATTGCCTCCTACCAGGCAACCATGCCGACGACAAACAGAGCAGCAGCCAGGTAGAGCCCAACAGCAGAATTTCCAACTCTGGTCAGGGGCGCTCCCATCACGGCAAAGCTGTCACTGCCGCTTCCACCTGAAGAGGTAGAGTTTCCGCCGTTTGAAGGGGCCAACTTGGCACAATTAGACTGAGAACCACTTGCGCTCTGGGTTGTGGCCTGACCCTTGAAGTCGCATGACGAAGCCGCATTCTTGTTCTTCTTGTAGTACGCGTCCAGCACGAAGGCAAGTTTCTGCTTGCTGGAGCACATGCTGTAGGTGCCGTATTTACCTGTAGTAAAGTTTCCATCAATGCCGGCACAGAGTGAGCGGTCGCTGCCACAGATGTAACCAAAGATATCGCCAAAGTCATCAGTCTTTAGGCTGCTTGCAGGAACACAAGAAGCCGCCTTGAACATGCAGTCACAGGCGGAGTCGTTCGGGGTAGGGGGCAGGGTCGCGCTGGCTTGCCAGGATGAGTTGACAGCAGGACAGTCCATGACCTTGGCCGTCGGGTTGTACGAATCCATTGTGACGCCCTTGGGGTCGACGGCGCTGATTTTACTCTGGAGAGCGGCAAAGTCCTTCCTCTTGGAGACAGAGCCGTCACTGCTGACCTCGACCAGACCTAGACAGGGTTCATATTAGTTGTTTGGGTTTTATTATATACGGGTACAGACACACGCTGCATCGCTGAACAAAGTGACTTACCATAGTCATTCGTCTCCTGGAAATACTCATAAACAATACCTCCACTAACAGCGTCGGTCATGTTCTTCAAATACAAAGCAGTCGTCTCGTCCCAGGTACGGCCATCACCACCGTTTGGCAAGTTACAGCCATATTCAGCAAAGAACATAGGGACAGAGTAATTTTTGAAAAACTCAATGAGCCGGTTGTACCCGGACGCTTCGAAGTTGCTGGAGCCACACCAGGAGTAAATGTTGTATCCGAAGAAATCAATCGAATCTTCCGAGGGACCACAGTTAAAATAGCTCGCAATCTGATCGCGGATGGGCTTATCGTCGTTGGCAGCGTAACCCACACCCATCCAACGGTACTTCTTAGACTTGATATAAGCCTTGGTGTCACGGGCAGCAGCCTTGACATATGCGGAAGCGCCGGTGTTGTTGTTTGCATTGCTGACCTCGTTGCCAGCAAAGAAACCAATCGTGTTGGAATACTTGGCCATCTCGTCAACAACTTGCTGATAGCGTGTGAAGAGTGCGGTGTCCCATGCGGGATTATCGCGATTAATGGAAAGACTTGGTTCGCCCAAATCTGCGACGACATAGATGCCGTTATCATTGAGGAGCTTCATGCAAGTTGAATGATCCTTGGTAGGGTCAATTGCGTAAACTCGGATGACATTGGTCTTGAGTGCAACAAGATTAGGGACATCGGCTTGGCAGCGCTTGGTGTCAGCCAGAGGATCAATGAAGCCCGAATTTGTAGGTGTCGAGCCGGCTGCGCCAGTCTGCTGCTGATACGCAATACCCTTGAAGAAGAATTGAGTTCCATTAGGAAGGAAGAATTTGGAGCCCTATATTATTGGAAGCAAGGAGTATCCTGTTAGTCAATCATAGCCAAAGACCTCGCATTTGGAACAAGCTGCTCGCCCTACCTTCATTTGGATGGATGGCAGGTCGGCGCCAAGTGCACCACCCGCCAGGGCCAAAAGCGATAATGAGAGACTGGAAGCAACCATTTTGAGGCTGAAGAAAGATCGATGATGGCGAAGCCAAGTTGGAATCAGGATACCGTAATAGTTTGGTCGGGTTGATCTTGTATGGACGTGACGGATATTGGAACTGAAACAATTGCGACGACTCCTTGTTCCACCACAAGCCCTCTCGAGTTGGTTACGTAGCAAGGTAACGATGCACTCGAAACGTCAAGAGAGCGTAAAGAAAGAGACAGGCAGCAGTTACAGCACAAAAACTGTCTGCCGCAAGAGCGAGTGAATCGAAAGAGGAACACTCTCCTCAACTAGCAATGGCGCAGCACAGCGAAGGTTGTAAAAGATGATGGCGACAACGAGAGTGTTAATGAGGAGAGTCTCACACAATGTGCAAACAACGTCTCGAAACACAAAGCGCCACAGGAGTGCCAGGTCCCTGAATCTTACGAGTTTTCGAAGGTCCGCCGTGGTGTAGTCTAGACCTGGACAACTGGGCAGAAGGACAAAGGACTGAAGCCTCATTCATGCGCACTCTCTGTCCCTCAAAACGAAGCGGCGACTGAGGCAACGAGCCTGCCACCCACCACACCTGCCCCCGCCGCCGCGGCAAAGTCGGATGGGCTGGGGGGGCGCATATGGAGCACATTTGGGGAATCACGCCCAACTTGACTGTTTGTGCCACGCGTCGTCTAAAGAAAGAAATAGCCGGGCCAATAGTATGATTGCGATGCAGCATCAACCTCTTTAACAGCCAAAGGGCTCCTCAGGAATTGCAGGTTCATTTGGGTAGTCCATTCTGCCAGTTTTCCTTCAATGATTCTCCGCAGGGCACTGAATACTCTGTATGTATGTTCGTTCTGTGCCTTGGGAACGGAACTCGGCGCCATATGGCGTCACGACAGTTAAATAAGAAGCAGCTTGGCGGGCCGATATTGCCGATTCTTGTTGACGGTGAGTCGGCGTGGTCTTTTGTCTTGGCTTCAATGCGTAATGGGATGAGGCATGGGGCCATGCCGGATACCCGCCTAGTTGTCTTGTCAGCGTGCCGCCACCCGGCCTACGGCAGATGGTCTGTATGGCAGGGTTCAAATACGATGGCTGAGTTCGTGTGTGACGATGGGGGCTTGTCATGGCTTGTGAGGATGCCCCTGAGCGCCCTGAGCGCCCTGAGCAGTCCTGGCTGTCCTGAGCGGGTTGGGCGTTTTGAGCACTCTGGATGCCACGTATGTGGGTGTGTGGCACCACAGTCATACACTTAGTGTGTTGGAAAGAGGCAGAATTATTCTTCATTTTGGAGACGATGTCGAGTTTTGAAAGTGGACATTGACATGACATGCATCCTGGTCGCGGACCCTTGTTCGCTGTTTCTGTCATGCCCGCCAGGCTCAAGCGGAACTGACACAGGCAAGCTGGGTCGTGCTTGCCATGTTTGGAATCCTAGCCTAGATTGACCTTGGCTGATTTGGTCGATCTGGCATGCAGCCAGCTCCAGGCATCTCCACCTTTGCCGAATCCACATCGCTCTGCTGCGTGCGGTTTGGTCGACATGAACCCAGTTCTGTTTTACAATAAGAAGGATTTATGCCAAGGTCGCTGGCTTTTTTTTCTTTCTCTTTTTTGCCAGGAGCACGCATCCACATCTGCGATACGTCGCCGGAGAATCCACCCTCACGTTGCATCCTGGTTCCAACCAAAACCACTGCTTCAAGGGTCATGGACTCATGATCTTCCACAGCCCGCGTCCAAATGGTGCCACCCGATGTTATTTTGCGATGAAAATTTCTTCCCACTTGAAACTCGCATCAAAGGTGTCTTCGTTTCTCGTCCTTGTCTGGTTATCATAGCTTTCTCAACTCTAGGAGTCCTGGCAACAACGAATGCAGACTTGGAGGAAGTAAATCCACCAGCATTATCTCCGCAGCAGGAAACAGATGTGATTTCGAAACGTTATCAACTTCTAGACGGCCGGCTACAGCAGTGTGGTCATCGTAGGTGCGAGGGTGAGATCTCAACTGCCCAATGTGCAAGTCTGATGCTACTGTTCGCAGAGTCTCATTGAAAGAAATGAGCGCCCAAAGATGCTCGTGAAGACTTGATACGCGCATTTGGTATCGAGGAGTCGCGACCATCAAAGACTCCCGGTTGCCAGAGCCAAACGAGCCGTGTTGCTATGGCTCCTGCAAGCGGTGAGACAATGTCGTTCGCTTGATACCTTAACTCAGCGATGCATGAACCGACGACGCAAGGCCACGAAAAAGGACCGCGAATATTGTCCTTTTTGAATGAAGAATCCGAGCCTACAGTAAATGGCATTATGATTTCTTGGTCTGGTCATTGTTTACTCATGTGCGAAGTTTATTTTCGATCCGGGTTAGCTCCCAAGGCGGATGCAAGACTAGAGGCTGTGGGAGAAGCATCGACACTTCTATGCGAAGCCTTTCCGCTAACAGGATGTCTCACTTTCAGCATACCCATCTTCACCTTGCCAACGGGGCCGATTCGAGCTCTCATGGTTACAGGAGGGTCTCCCGAGAGCGTCTCAACTTGGGGGTCTTTTACTGAACCACTCACATCTCTTTGCGGTCCTGTTGAAAATGCGACAAAAGCGAGCTGTCTTGACGGGTGCGTTTATTCTAGACCCTAAATCGATAGCAAGACCCATCATGGTTTGAACAGCGTGAACCTTTTTTACAAAAGCGCATGTCTTCCCATCCCCCCTCACAAGGGCAGTTGCGAAATGCTTCCAGGCATCGTCTCTCCTTAGTCCCCGGGCTTGAGCTCAAGGTGAACAGCGTTCAGACTTCGTCGAGATGGGTTTCTCGTGCTGTGGGCGACGGCCTAAGAAGGCTGGGACAGAAAAGTTGACTCCTGTGCATGACGAGGTGGTATACCCGCTTCATTTCTTGGACCAGTCTACACTGCAGCAGGAACTGGTCACCTGGGTCTTGAGCTTCAATGACGTGCTTTCGGTAGTTCCCTTGCACCAATCTCTTTGCACCCTCCTTGAGATTGGGGACTGGAAGAAGCTTGGAACTCGACTACGGGTCCGGGTAAGTTGATTGTCTCTAATCTACATGAATATGATGAAGACGAGACTCTGCACTTAAAGAATGCAGAAACTGACCATTTGCTGTCACAGAATGATGGATTGATGGAGGCATATGCACCAAAGGTATTCACTGCGCAGAACCCTCCTTGCACCTTCTACCACGAAAAGTTTTTCGATACTCCTATTCAAAGAGACCCCATTGGAAAGCACTTCATCTTGCCAAACAAAAGAGCCTTTACTCAAAGGTACCCCTCAGACTACCGACGTCTTTTTCTCCCGCCAGATGTTCCCTCAACTGTGCAGGACATTGTCGATGGGGGTTTGTCCCAATTAGTCCTCCGTGTTTTTTCATTTCGAGACGCAACTATTGTAACGCTCTCGTGGCCGCCAAACTCCATGGATACAGCAGGCTTCAAGGCCCTCCTCCAAAACTGGTCTCTATGCATGGCCGGACGCACGGATGAGGTTGCTACCGTCTTTGGGGCGCGGGAGGATGTACTTGCAAATCTGGTCATGAGCGCCGAAGAAAAGAAGAATCTCGACGAGCTCAGAGTGGACAGTAAACTCAAAGCCTTGTCTCAGAACCCGATTTCAAAATGGTGGAGACGACGGAGTCACAAACCACTACAGAGCAGAATGGTGTTCATCCCTCAGGCAATTTATGATGACTTCATGAAAGAGATTCGGGAAGACATTGCCGGCATATTAGAGGATGATGACCAGCGACCAGTTACGACCGCCGCAGACATCATCCTAGCCTGGATAAGCAAGCTACAGGCCGCAGCTGACCTTAAACCAAGGGGCGTCCTTTCTACATCCTTGGTCAACCTACGATGCCGCATGTCCACCCTTCGCGATCCATCAGGGGAGTATCTTCAAAACCTGACACTGCCCTGTTACTCGTATATCTCCCCTGAAGAAGCCACCGACACGATCGGCGCCATAGCCCTCCAACACAAACATAACATGCAAGATCAGACCTCGGAACACCAACTGCTCGCCCTGGCCAAGCATATTATCGACAAGAAGAAGCGCGGCAAGAACCCGCTCCCCATATACAATGTGTCCAGGATTCCTCTTCTTGAATTCCATAACTTTTCCCCTCTGCAACTCTTCTCCGCCGCTGATTTCTCGCCAGCTGTTGTTTGTGCCGATGTGTTTGATGGTCCCAGATGGAACCCTCCAGGACGCATGACTGCAGCGTACTACCTTATGGAGAGCACGAATTTCGATGAGAGCGTTTGCGCTGTGCTTGGGAAGGACCTCGGCGGCAATTTTTGGATGACATGCCAGCTGGAGCCCGAAGTGTGGGTCAAGGTCGAGGAAGAGTTGTATAATTTGCAGAAGACGGTGAACTCGCCCACTTCGGGGCATTGTATTCGGTTCTATGACTATTCAGCACGCAAGGTATCCGTTAGGTCTACTTTTTGACCTGCCGCGGGCGCTTTTTTTTCAATGTAGTTTCGGGCATGAACGTCTTCGCTGTGATGGGTCTTTGCGGACATTTGCTTGAGTGGTGTAGGTTATCTTCATAAGCAGATGGGTTTTATTTATATGACATACGTACGGAATAGCCTTAATATTAATAGCTAATAGGGAATGAAATAAAGAAAGGAAAATACCGTCTTTCAAACTACAGGTTCACTGGCACTCCCTCTCCACCAAAACCATGGCACTACCAAGACGGGCGACAAGACAACCACATCTCGATTAAAGCGAATGCAGCCATTCTATGGGCTTGGTGGACCATTAGACGAGAAGCTATGCTTTAAAGGTGCCTCGGGAGCATTCGGTATCTGTGGCCTGAGTACTTCTCAAGAAACAGGCTTACAACTGCAAGTACTTCATCTGAGTAGCAGGATACCTGTCTCCAGCTGCCACGAAGCCCTGAAGCATGCCGTCAATCTCTGCCATGTCCTCACTTGTGAGATCTATGATGGCAGCATTCTCCTTGATTCTTCCAGGGTCGGAAGATCCAGGGATGGGGATGATGACGGGCATCCCCGGCCGCTTCGAAAGCGCCAAGAGCCAGTTGATGGCAATCTGGGCCGGAGTGCAGCCCTTCTTCCTCGCGAGGGCCTCCACCTTTTGCACGAGCTCGAGATTAACCTGGAGGTTCTCGTCCTTGAACCGCGGCAGGTCGCGCCTCATGTCGTCTAGAGCGAGGTCGTCGAGTCTCTTGACGCGGCCGCCGAGTAGGCCGCGTCCGAGAGGGGCTGGGTTCTCATCAACACGCTGCTTGCAAAGGAAAACGCTAGGATGGTCTTGACCACTGGATGCTTACAGTAGGCAATGACGGGTATGTCCAGCTCCGCACAGGCAGCACATAGGCCGTTGGTCAGGGCATCCGTGTGGAACAGCGAGACCTCAATCTCCAGCGCCGAGATGCGAAACTTGCGGGCTGCGCTGCGCAACGTGGTGGCGTTGATCTCGCTTGTCGAGATGCCGTCTATCCTGCCGCTCTTGACGTAGCCGTCAATAGAAGCGAGTGTTTCGTCTTCGTAGTCGTGGCTCAGGTCCTTTCTCGCCATCCCCCATTGGGCTATTCGTCCCACGGGGCCGAGTTGCTCCAGCGAATGCTCGATGCTCCGCGCCACGCCCTCTGGGCTCCCGTCGAAGCCGAGAGTCTTGAAGTCCCGGCCGCCCTTGATGTTGATGGCCACTCGTTCCGCGTCTTCGGGGTACTTGGCAAAGTAGCGGCGGAGCAAGGTGAGCGAGTTTTCTTCGGGGCCGGTGCCGTAGAACTCAGCGCCGTTGAGGAACGTGCAGCCGGATTCTATGGCGGTTTTGATGGCGGTAAAGTTGGCTTCGTCTGTATCTGGGGTCTGAATGGCGGTGAGGCCTAGGTTTGGGGGATGTCAGCGATGGTTTGAGTGAGCATGGCTGGCGATGGAAGGGATGGGAATACCCATGAGGCCGTAGCCGATGGGGCCGACTTGCTTGCCGACGATGGTAGGCATGGTTGGGCGTTTACGTTTCACCTGCTAGGCTTTGTGAAATGATGGGGAGCAGTATCGTTTCCTAGTGCTTCCAAAACGAAGTGTTGAGGAGAGTTGTGGCAGATATTTGTAGTTTTGGGGGATGTGTGGTGAACTTATCAACGGTCACATTTACGTCTGTACAACCTCCCCCATTAATTTCTCTTGTGTAGATGTTACTTGTTGCCCAAACCCAAGCAAAGTACTTTGTGGAGAGTGCGTTCCGGTCACCAAGACAAGGAAAGTCCGCAGAGTATTCGCAGTAATCACCTTCCATTGCAGCGTGTAAGTCGTCGTTGTATTTGGCTTAAGACGGCTTGATTCCAGATCGGGACGGGGAAAGCGCCTGGTAAAGCACGACCAGCCGGTAACAGTACGAATATGGAGCTGTGAGAGTGTGCTGGATGACTTATTAATTCTGGGAAAACGAGGAGGTGTCGATTCTCGGAGGCCAGCCATTGATTGGATATTTGCCACAGAATTGTAAACCTGGCTCTACGTGAGCGTGCCCGTGCATGTACGCGGCCGACATCTGGGGCAGTGAAGGACCCTCCCCGGCAGTCCATCACCACGGGGAAAGGCCCAAATATTGTGCAACACAGGGCAAGTGGTGAATTGCTGAAACCCAACACAAGACACGTTGGGAAGCTGCGCTCACAACTCACTTACACGTCAACGGCTTCCTTGGACGGACGTCGAGGCCGTGTGGGGCCAATTCAACTGCCGCCCCACCCTCCTTGCCGTTGACGTTGTCGCAACGCCAAAAATCTCCAAAGCTCGACATCGTGAAAGGCCGCCCCAACTACTTAGCCATCAGACACCGCGAGCCACCTCTACATCAGTCCTCTCCCCAGGAGCACACACAATCAATACATATCAAAACAGCATCCTATTTGCAGTATTCCGTCCCAGAAACCCCCGCCACCATGGCCGCTGCGACCGCCGCCCCCAGCGCGCCCTCTGAACCCAGCAGCATCTTCGCCGTCCCCCGTCCCATCCGCTCCCTCTTCAAGCTCTTCCCGCTGCGCACCTACGAACCAGAGCCTCTTCCCGCCCGCGCGCCGGACCAGACGCGGCCCCGCGCAAAACTATACGTCTTCTCATCAGACGAGGATGCTCTCAGGGGCCGGCCAAGCTTCAATCCCACCTGTTTGAAGTGGCAGGTACGCCAAGCCCAGTCCAGTCCAACCCATCAACCGCATGCCTCTGACAAAGCCAGACATACCTGCGCATGGCCAACATCCAAGTCGACCTCGTCCCATCCACGAACCACGCCTCCCCATCCGGCGCCTTGCCATTCCTCCTCCCCCCAACGACCGACTCGAGACCAGACATTCCCCTCACGGGCACCAACATATCCCACTACGCGCACAAATACTCCAGCTACTCGTCAGTGCGGGAATCCAACTCCCCCCGAACAGAAGCGTACCTCTCGCTAATAGCCCAATCCATCCGTCCAGCATGGGTATGTTTCTTCCCCCCCCAGCCATCACAACCGGCCGCACACTGACCAACACCCTCAGCTCCACGCACTCTACATCTCGCCCAGGCACACCCCCCTCCTCGCAAGGCTATATCTCCCGCCGTCGCCCCTCGTGTCAACACCGCTCCTGCACACCCTCCGCTCCGCGGCGACCAACGAGATCCTCAAAACGGTACGCCGACCGCTCCTCCTCCCCGAGCAGCTGTACAGCGATGCCAGGACCGCCTTCCAGACGCTCGACGCGGTCCTAGGGTTCGACGAGTGGTTCTTTGGCGCGCCCGAGCCGGCCCTGTTCGACGCCGAGGTCTTCGCGTACACGCATCTGATTCTAGATGCCTCGTTTGGGTGGCAAGACGATACGCTGGGCGCCTGCCTCGAGGGCTGTGACAGGCTCGTCGAGCACCGCCGCAGACTGTACGAATGGTGTTGGCACTAGGAGCCGTGTGAGCGGGCACGCAGAAATAGGGGACGTCGTGCTGTATAATTAGTCTTGTACACTAGGTGAGGTGTTGATGCCAGCGCAAGCATTGGTTATAGATGTTGCTTGATTGTATAGAGGAGCAGCAGCACACGGGACACTACTCTGCCCCGTTTGCCTGTCTCAAATGATGAATATGTCTTGAGATGCGGGCTTTTTTGGTTTCTTCACCCCATCTTTGGTGAGATTGCAGACCTTGCCTGCTGCGGATTATCTCGAGCACGAATACAAATAACCACGAGAGCATGAAAGCCCACGCACACGGTTGCAATGGAATAATAGCACACATGTGACGCTACTCTCTGATACACAACTGCATGCCACGGCTGGATATCGACATCGTCTATATCGCTGTTCCGCATCCGCTATCATTCTCAACTAACATACACGTCCCTCTCCCCTCTCCCCTCTCCCCTCTCTGAGTCATCTACCGCAAGTCCGACTGGTACGATCCCAAGTGCTGATAGGAACCATACATGATACCACTGTTTCTCTCGAGCATCCAATTTCGTAAATCAAATGAGCGCAGGTAAAATTCATGCAACGCCACCTCTGGATTCAGATATCACATGCTCACAAAAACCATTACCCACCCGCCCAGTTGTCATGTTGGATTTCGAGGGAAGAAAAAAAAAAGGCAAAGAATCAAGACGAAAGGGAAAAAGAAAATAGAAAAGCTGCCAAACGCCAGGAACGCCGCCTCATTAATGCAACACAGTGGGAAAGGATAGCTCGGATAGGCTGCGATGAATGCGACAAACCATCTTTAGTTCCAATTCTACTACAATCGTGGGCCGGCCTTGATGCTGCCCACAACATCTTGTACCGAGACAAATGCACCTGCACCACCATCCGCCCGGAGATCCTCAAGTAGCACACTTGTTTGGGCATAGAGCTTTTCAAGAGATGCCTGCGAAGATTTGCCCAAGGACGCTGTCCATGAATTAGTGACCAGTCTTGGTGTCGACAGATATTGCGCTCATAACGACACTTACCCAAAATAGCCGAGTTGAGTTCCTCTGCAACAGCTACCCTGCCCTTCTTATCAAGCAGGTGGCTAACTGTTGGTTCCACAACAGGATTGGAATACGCCACCAACGCCCAAATTTCCTCGAGTGCTTTGCTGACTTCAATTCGCGGATTTCGTGCATACGTGGCCCCCAACGTTTGTCCGTAGCTGAGCATTTCTTCTTCCAGCTTCAGCAACTCGAACTGGGCGTTCTCCATATCAGCTTCGAAATTCGTATGCTCGTTCCAAGCCATGTCGTCTTCGCCATTGACGTCAACGTCCATGTCCTGCGAAATAGAGCTGGACCCGGGTCTATGCCCATTGCTCATCTTCGAGTCAATTGCGGATCTCAGTTGTGCCGTCTTCCGGACCATTTCAATGAATTTCCGGCAACATAACTTGAAATGAACTTGTGCATTTTCATCGAATACTCGTGGGTAATAAACGTGTGTGTGCTTCAACGCACGGTCAATGTTACCCTCAAGAATGGCTTTTCGAATCTCTACATTGTGTGTTAGCATTGGCGACTAGCAAGTGGAGATTTGTCAGCCTACTTTGCCTGTTATTGGCGTCTTCGTCATCCTTGATGTTGATTCCGTCGACAGTGACATTAGGATCCAAGTTCAGAGCCTCCTTCTGCAGCTTGATATCTTCCGCAAAAGCTCGGGCCGTTTCCACATAGCCATCATGCTGCAAGAACTGCAAGACCAAGGCCTGTATGAGGTCTGTTTCGCCCAGTCCAGACTCAAGCCTGGAGACGTCAGTCTTTTCGATCTCATCTTGGATTTTTCTCCGTTGTCCCTATTTCCCATTTAGTAGGTGTGCCGGAATGGCGCATAGTCTGAAAGTTTTGCACAAGATACTCACTCTCATCATATCATCAATGTCATAAACAAAGGGCGTTTGCCCAAAATTGACTATGATATGTTCTCCTGGCTTCTTCAGACTAATAGCAGGGAAAATCTTGCTTCGGACGACGTCGTTGACGGCCACACCTGGACATGTACTATTAACAGAGCCACCCACACGTCATTGTTCCCATGATCAAGGAGGCTTACCGATCTTGACGCCATTCTTGGTAAAAAAAGCAGTGTGGTCGCGGAAGTTGACGCCGCAGCCAATGACATCTCCTGTGCTGAACGTTGGACCAAAGGGCCGTCCGGTATTGGTCCCGGAAAAGCAACGGCCGTCATCTCCGTGATACCCCCAAGAATTTTCTTCCCAACCTACTGGCCGCGACATGGTCGCATCTTTCGTGGCAAACCCAACGGCGATGGTAGCGCTGCCATACTGTCAGCTTGCTTTTTGCGTTGACGGATATTCCAACATGGTTTCAAGGTCTACTTGACTTACTCGTCGCGCTTTCCGCATAAGATTTGAACCTCGTAATAGTATATTCCACATTCTGCGGGCATGGGGTGATCGGCTCGCGCCGCAGCCGCCTCGTGGTCCCTGTCTTGGTGACTTCGGGGGCCGACAAACTTCAAAGATCGCGCAGCTTCTAGAAACTCAATAGACCCCCACGAATCACCAGGGTTCCAGCGACTCGGTAGCGGCGTCAGTTCGTCTTCCAACTTTGGCCAGCTCAGTCGGTCCAGGCTCGTGCGGGGCAGTCCTGGCCCGGTACTAAGTGACGTGGGATATATCCTCAGTCCAGGTTGATTGCGAGCCAATTCAGTTGCCATCTCGTGGCTGTGTTCCTTCAAAGCCTCGTTTCGAGCCTGAAGCCTAACCCTGTGCGCAGCTTCCAACTTGTGAACATAGGTGGACTCGGACAGATATGACGGGACGAAGAACGAATCGTGGTCTTTGGCGGCAGGGTCTGAGCTCTCTGAACACATCGGTGCCATGAACATATCGAATCCGCGGGAAAAGGAGGGCAGGGTGCCACTGGCCTTCCACATGGTCGCCAGGTCGTTGAGGCTGGAGTCGTTCATGTTGTTGGTTTCGCGACGCGACGTCGCTGAGGCGAGGCCGGGAACAGGATCGAGCAGCAGACCACGGCTAGGACT